TGCACTTTAAACTGTGTAATATTACACAAGCATACATCTAATTAACAGATAAGCTTATGCGCACGCTGTACACAAAGCTACTAAAGAAGATGCGCTAAAGCTTTCTACTAAATACAATACTCTAGGTTGTACAACCCTTGTATAGAGCTGCTAAATTAGGACTGTATTAGTTTAAGACATACTATAACTACTATAAAGAAAAGCTGCGCATGCACATCTCTTTATACAACCCCTGCCTCTTAATTACTAATAAAGGAGAGCACACCTTTAGTATTACTAGCCTGTAGACAGACAACACCTTAAGCATTATAACAAAGGATTTTGCGCAAAGAGAAGAAAAGAAACTGTAAAAGGTAAAGTTCCACACAAAGGGCAAGGCTATCCTAGCAGAAAAGCAGCCTATTAAGTTTAACAGCAGAAGGATTAAACTCACGCACAACACAGTAGTCCTTACTTAGAAGGGACAAGCAAGCCACCTTTATACAATTAACCTAGAGGACAAGGATGCTGCACAACAATATGTTAAGCAACATGTAAGAGGGGCATACATTGCATCTGTGTGCTAACTAGAGGTGTTAGATTGAAGCACTGTTTCTAGGCTTCCTGAGATGAATGATGGGTTTGGAAATGATGTATAAGATGATGATTGATTGTATATTTATCGATCCTTTTTTCTGCTCTACTCGTGTTGCTCGGCTTTTGTTTTTCCGATCCGAGTCCCTCGCGCACTAGCCCCATGCGCGACCAGCTTGCAACATGCTGCAATTTGCTGCAAAATGCTGTAACATGCTGCAATTTGCTGCAATTTGCTGCAACATACTGTTCGAGCTTATTGCTCGTACTATGTAGCAGCTTTCGTCAAGCGTTCCTCCTGTCTTGACAGTAGGTGCGCATATCTGACACACCCCCTCAGCTTGGACATGCTTTAAGCTGGTTCCCGATTGCGCAACCTTAGTATGCTTCCAGGGCTTCCATTCTTGCTTCTGTGACGGTGCTGCTTGTCAAGCTCCGCTGCTAGTCACATGATCTCGCTAAGGGTTAAGCGAGCGCGCTAGCGCCTTGGCGCTGCGCAAGCTTTTCTCTCGCGAAAACCCTTCGCCTCCTTCACTCCCCATCCTAGTTTAGCTGAAATAGAGCCGACCTACTCTGCCATGCTTCCCCAGCTCCATACGGTAGTAGAGACAGTGCTTGCCATCACATAGTCTATCTAGATTAATTATATTCTATAGGTTTTTGCTAAGAGCATAGAACTAGAGCTAGATAAACTAGAGAGGCTAGCTTGCGTAGTCCTTAAGCTAGTACACTCCTGTTAGGAGAGGAGCATCTTAATTAGCTATAACATAGGCTTTAGAGGTAATAAGGATAAAAGAGCTTCTAAATAGCTTTTACTAGCGCTATAGTTATATAGAGAGAATTATCCTAGGTTCTTAAAGCGCTAGGCCTATAACTATAGAGGATAAAATAGCCTAGCAGTAGCTGTTTAGAAGATTAGATAAAGTAACTCTGCTATCTAAGAGAGCTAATTGCTCTTCTTATATACACTAAGCTTTAGAACATAATATCTCTAGATCCTAAGCTGCGTCCCAGGCTCTAAGCCCTAGTCCCAGGCTCCGAGCCCTAGCCAAGGCTCTTTGTATACGCGACACTATGTTTACTATTAAGCTTTTATATAAAGCTTTATTTAGTAACTTATAGGCATTACTTTAAGTTACTATAAACTAAAAGGTAAACTAATACCTTTAGAAACTACCTAACGTATACTATATAGACTACTAATATAACTTTACATAACAAGAAAAAAGCTTCTCTCTGCGTAAAAAAAGACAACATAGAAATTTTTTATCTAAGTTTAAGCTATAATCTAGAGACAACTATATGCAAATAAAAAGGTGCTTTATTTACTATAAGAAAAAATGTTAGTTATTAAACTACTTTTATAATAACTATATATAAGCAAAAGACTAGTATGTTGCCTTATATACAGATTTTTATAATAAGACTTTATTATGTAAAGCTATTACCTTATATATTTAAAACTTTAAAAGTTACTCTAAGAAAAAAAAAATTTATATAATATAAATGTCTGTACGCAGCAGCAGCGTCACAGTCTGGATACAAGCGATCGCGCACAAGCAGGACCACGTATCTATGTTACATAATGCTTGTGCGTAAACCTCTGTGCGCAAATATCTAGATATCCCCCTTTTTCTCTATATAGAGAAAAGATAAGAGTAATAGAACTAAAAACATGTTGCTTTTACTTTACCTACTTTATATACTATGCACACTATACACTACTCTTACTTTTACTACTTAAGTGCTTATACTATAAGCAGCTAGCTATTAAAGCCTATTTAACACTAATTAGTAGTTAATTTAATTAACTATAAATTAGTAAGAGTAATAATAAAGTACTTATACTTTATAAGGTACTTTATTTTGTTACTTATTTTCTAGAAAGAGTAATAATAGAGCACTTACACTTTATAAGGTACTTTATTTAGTTACTTATCTTTTAGAATAGTAGATTAATCCTTTACATTATACAGTAAGCTCTGCTACTATATAAAGTAAGAAGAAGATAGTGTAAGACGCACACTAAAGCTATTAAAGCTGTATAACCTAGTAGCTAGACAATAGTAAATTAATCCTTTACATTATACAGCAAGCTCTGCTACTGTACAAAGTAAGAAGGAGATAGTGTAAGGCGCACACTAAAGCTATTAAAGCTGCACAACCTAGCAGCTAGACAACAGCAGTACCTGTGTAATCTACTAAAAAAGTAATTAACTATACTTGTAAGGCTAAGATGGCGCTTACGTGCGACAGGTATATATACTATTCTGTACGCAATAATTAACGTTAGTTGATTATTCGCACCTTTTTAGTTGTATTAGCGTAGTGGTACAGAGCTCCGTCCTTACATAATAATTAACCAACGACGAGGACAGTCGCGCGTTTGACCCACACCTTGGACAGCTTAGCCAGTTTTTAGACTGAAACGTGAGGCGGCCTTTTCTGGCGCCACGTTGTCGCTGCTGGGAGGTCTAGTGTATATGGCTTAGCTGGCGTGGGCCACTAAGCGTTGTGTCGTTATTTATCCCGCGCCTCTGGGCCGCAGGTGGTCAGCCGCTGGCCGGTAACCGAGACATGCGCATGGCGCCTCTGAGCTGCGGGTAGGTCATGTGACGCCTGGGACATGCGTCTGCTAAGAAGGGGGATAATGTAAGGCCGAGATGGCGCTTACGTGCGACAGGTATATATACTATTCTGTACGCAATAATTAACGTTGGTTGATTATTCGCACCTTTTTAGTTGTATTAGCGTAGTGGCACAGAGCTCTGTCCTTACAATACTATTAACATACTATAACAGTTTATAAATGAATGCATAAGCGGAGCTTGTTTTAAGTCACTTATTAAACTCTTTCTAGAGAAGAAGACTGCATTAGAAGAAGCCTATAGAAGAAGACTATAAGCAGAGCAGATAATAAAAGGTAGTCTATAAACTAAAACTTATAAACTATATTTTTATAAATTTTACATAAAGACCTATATACTTATAAATGCTATGTAAGAGAACACCTTTTAGTAGGTCTGTCTATATAAGTACTTATTAGCAAAGTTAAAGTACTAGCTAAAATCCTAAGCAATGTAAATAATAAGCTGCACATCTTAAGCCTAGATAGTAATGCGCTTACTATAGATAGCAGCTAGCTAAGTGCTTATAAATTAATAAGTCTAATACTTTATCTAATACTAATACATTAGCACTTATATTTTATTAAAGTTATAATAAAAGACTTAGCAGTTATTTATAATGCATAAAGTGCTTACTTACTCTAGTAAAAAGGTTTATTATATTAACATATACACATGCTAGTAGTTGCTTTTTAGTAGTAGTTAACTTAGAAAGGTTTAGTAAAAGGCTAAAATTAAAGTTATTTATATTTTTTTAAAGTAAAATAAATTCCTTCTTATGTCTATATTTAAGTAAATTAGTAGCGCACTCTTTATAAGTACTCTATTAATTTAATCTTATGTTAAACTACCTTTAATTACAGGTAGTGCATGTATCTAACTTAATATTAAGTAGACTCTTATAGAAGTTATTAATATAGCCCTTATTAACTTCTAGTAGTTATAGCCTAGTCTTTAAAAAATTTAACATTATTAAAATTTATAGGTACAGGCGCAGATAGAAAATTATACGCATAGCGCTTAGTGTCTAGGAAGATATCTATGTTAATGTCTTTATCTAAACTGTTGCTAAGGTTGTTTTTATTTGTACCTGCTCTTTGCAACTAAGAGGGTGTAGACTAAAACCTTCTCTATGTTAATAGTAGCTTTTAGGTACATTGTGTACTTAAACTAATTAGAGTAAATGGCACAGGTGGTATACTAGAGAGGTTGCCTAATAGGCTAGGGATTTTATATTAGGGAGATTGTTAAGGCGTCTGTTGTGTAGGAATGTCGCGAAGAAGGGAGCTTAATAGGCTAAGGTTTATAGGAGGCGATACGTGTGCTAGTTCCTTATTTATAGTATAAACGTTAACCTTACTCTTTAATTAGCAACACTTTTAACATAAAGTCTTCTACCTGCTATTTCCTTTAAACGTGTCATTTGCCTGGTCTAATAGCGTAGAACAATAACGACATAGGGGTACTGGAGGAGACGACGGCGGGATATAGGGTTGTAGTCTGTTATTTGCGACATATGTGATATCAGCAAGAGCGCGCCTCTTGGCTGGCGGTGGAGGTATAGGGCTGCCCTGGGTAGGGCGCTTCCTTGCCTGGTGTCAGATATGCGCACCTACTGTCAAGACAGGAGGAACGTTTGACGAAAGCTGCTACATAGTACGAGCAATAAGCTCGAACAGTATGTTGCAGCATTTTGCAGCATGTTGCAGCAAATTGCAGCATTTTGCAGCATGTTGCAGCATTTTGCAGCAAATTGCAGCAAATTGCAGCATGTTACAGCATTTTGCAGCAAATTGCAGCATGTTGCAAGCTGGTCGCGCATAGGGCTAGTGCGCGAGGGACTCGGATCGGCAGAACAAAAAGCTGAGCAACACGAGTAGAGCAGAAAAAGGATTGATAAACAAAAACACAATTAATAAAATTAATCAATCATCCTATACATCATATCCAAACCCATCATTCATCTCAGGAAGCCCAGAAACAGTGCTTCAATCTGACACCTGGATTCGTGTATTGCAGGGCGCACATCGAACCTTCCATCGGAGGAACGTCCTGTCTCTCTGTGGATCCATAGGGTGATGACAATCATCGCAGAGTGGGGGAGGTTTATTAGCGTTGAATAGCAGAGGTACCATGTTGTGGGTTGTAGCAGGAGGTATTAGACAGGTATTAGACAACACGCGCAGCGAGGTTTTGGTTTTCGCGCAGGAAATAATTATCCGAGGATCTGCCGTTTTTATGCTTACGTGAGCCCAAAAAGGCTGAAAGCAGTAATTCTTGGCTGCTAAGCCCTAACTGAAGAAAACCAAAGTCCACAGAAAGGAGCGGAGCAAGCTCCGCTAATAATAAAATCCTACTAGCAACTAACAACTCTATGTAATAATAAAAAAAATAAGAAATAATTTCTATTATATAAACAACTTATAAAGAATATAAAGATATTAAAGGTAACACTACAGAATAAGACTAGCCTAGAGTACTAAAATAATAAGATTAATATATTAAAAGCTCTAATAAGCTTATAAACTTAATTATATGTAAGTTATATAATTACTAATTTATATATAATAACTTAAAAAAGCGCTACTTTTTTAAGTTTATATATAAAGGATTTTAACAAATAAACACTATAAAACTTCTTAGCACTTAGCTGCGCGTTTAAAAGAGAGCTTATATAAGTACTAGAAGATAAGAGAATTACACTATAGCTAGGCACTAAAGGTACTTAAGCCTAAAAGCTGTATAATATAGGATAAAAGAAAGTAATTATACTAAAAAGGCTTTATACATAACCTTTATTACTATATAAGGCTCTACATAGAAGCAGACTAAATATAATGCTGCTATTAATACTAAACATACTAGTACTACTTACTTCTACACCTTAGCTAGCACTACACTAATTACTGTATAAACAATACATGCTACCTTACCTAATGCCTGCTCTACACCCTTAATTGTACACACTACTGCCTACAGTAGTGTATGCACTACTAATACTACCTGCACAATCTATACTACATTATAACTTGTATAAACTTCTACTCTAAAGGGAAACTACTAAAGAAAAACTTTTAGTAGATAAAATTATATAATTTTAAAAAGTATAAAAAAATAATAACTATATAAGTTAACTATATAACATTTTTATAGATAAAATAAAGATTTTTATTAATCTATGTTAACAGCTAGATATTTAGAAAACTTAGTACATAGACATCTTTCTAGATATCTTAAAAGGTTAGGTAAATATGTACTATATATATAACATAGGCTCTAGATATAACTAGAAGCATTTATATAACACCTTAAGTAGTTACTTTAACACTAATGTAAACTATAGCTAGTACTAGACAGACTAGATAATAATAACTTTTACATAATGCTAATAAAAAAACTTTAATAAGAGTTTATATAAAGTTTTTAAAATAATAATTAACAAGCTTACACTTGCATAAAGGGCACTAAGAATAGAATTCTAAGAGGATGTTTTACTGCACACTACTATTGTACAAGCCTATTAAGGATAACTAGAACTAGAATATGCTATATTTACTATTAAGCTCTTATGCAAAGCTCTATTTAGCAACTTATAAGCATTACTTTAAGTTACTATAGACTAAAGGGTAAACTAATACCTCTAAGAACTGCCTAATGTATACTACATAAACTGCTAATATAACTCTGCATAACAAGAAAAAAGCTTCTCTCTGCGTAAAAAAGAACAACATAGAAGATCTCTATTTAGGTTTAGGCTACAATCTAGAGACAACTGCACACAGATAAAGAAGTGCTTTGTCTGCTATAAGAAGAGATATTAGTTATTAAACTACTCTTATAATAACTATATATAAGTAAAAAACTAGTACATTACTTTATATAAAGATTTCTATAATAAAACTTTATTATGTAAAGCTATTACTTTGTACATCTAAGACTTTAAAGGTTACTTTTAGAAAAAGAATAATTTGCACAATGCAAAGGAAATAAAATAAGAGAGTAAGAATACTAAAAAAGCTGTTAACTATTTTACCTCTGCTGCCTATCTACACTGTGCAACAGAAGAGGACATCTATAGCATTAAACCTAAAAAGTATGCTAAGTAGTTTATTCTTAACAACTAATACTGTACAGTATACTAAGGTGAACTATAGGACATAGGTGTAGCAAAGATCTCTACTGTTAGTAAGTCTTAACTTAAGGCGTACATATAAAAGAACTTATGTATAAAAATTAATTAGACACCTAGCTAAATAGATATTAGCTTTAGAGGCTAGACACTAAAGAGATTAATTAGTACTATATAAATCTAAAACTGTCCGAATAGTGATATTCAAGCGCCTGGTTGATAGTCACGTGGCTCAGATGCGCCCAGATCCCTGTGCACGGAGATCTGTGCGCAGAGTTTGGGACTATATCAACCCCTTTCCTTTGTACAATAGAAACAACAAGAAGTAATTAACACTAGTTACCTAACACCCCTGTACAATGTTTACACTGTGCAAACCTCTCTGTCTTATACGCATTTGCTAACACTAAGTGCTAGCTAGCAGAGAGTCTATTTAACACTAATTAGTAGTTTAAATACTATAAGAGAGAAAGCTCTTTTTATACCTTTTTATTTAAAAGTTTATGTATAAAAAGAATTCTTTTTCTTACTACTTTAACTGCAAATTAGTAAGAGTAAAGATAGAGTCTAATTTATGTGTAAGTAGCTATAAATCTTTATTTAGTTACCTAAGCAAGAGTAAGAAACCTGTCTATACAATACTATTTAGAGGTATTGTACAAATAGTAGTGCTTGTTTAACGCTAGAAGGTCTGTTTTATCTTTTCGCATAAGGCTGTTTGGAGGCAGCGTACAACAAGAAGTAAGACAGCGCGCAACAACGCATAATTAACTACTATAGAGCAACAAGCAATGCTAGCTTTATCTATAACTAGCTAACATAACATATTAACGTACAACTAATACATACCTTTTATAGGCATCTTAGCAAAGACTCTAGCAGAGCAGATAAATATTAAAAATTAAGTAGATAAGATGAAACTATTAAATAATATACTTAAGAAGAAACTTAATTTATACACAGCTAACTTAATTATAAAACTCCACACATTAAGCGTGACAGACATATGTACACTTAAGAACTTTTAAGATAACTTTATAAAGTAGAAGCTTATACACTTTAGAAATCTTAGCTAACTATTCCTATAAAAACTAATTACTACTCTACAAAATAAGAGCATTAGCTTTAAAAAGGACATAATAAAAGCTACTATACTATATAGACTTATAAAAGGAGAACACATGTTTACTATTCTACTAGAGCATTATATAAAACTATTACTACTATTGCTAGTCTTAACGCAACAGAGGATGTCTCTATATAAATCACCTGCAGACCTAATACTTCCTCTGTAATTAGTACAACCACCTTGCAATAGCTTACTGTACAAGAGCACAACTAGGCAGCTACATATTCCTGTAGCTACAGCTCTGCATGAGATTCCCTAAAGCTTGTACCTACTGCATATAATTTAATTACTATACAATTTATACTAACTTCTACCTACACAAGATATTACAGCAGAGAACCTTTCGCCTAAGAAGGTTATATAATTCTAGAAGGCTGTCAGATTGAAGCACTGTTTCTAGGCTTCCTGAGATGAATGATGGGTTTGGATATGATGTATGGGATGATTTATTGATTGTATTGATTGTGTTGATTTATCGATCCTTTTTTCTGCTCTACTCGTGTTGCTCGGCTTTTTGTTCTGCCGATCCGAGTCCCTCGCGCACTAGCCCTATGCGCGACCAGCTTGCAACATGCTGCAATTTGCTGCAATATGCTGTAAAATGCTGCAATTTGCTGCAACATGCTGCAAAATGCTGCAATCTGCTGCAATTTGCAGCAACATACTGTTCGAGCTTATTGCTCGTACTATGTAGCAGCTTTCGTCAAACGTTCCTCCTGTCTTGACAGTAGGTGCGCATATCTGACACACCCCCTCAGCTTGGACATGCTTTAAGCTAGTTCCTGATTGCGCAACCTTAGTATGCTTCCAGGGCTTCTATTCTTGCTTCAATCTCTTCCATATCCGCTTCCTAACTGACTATCCTCTCCCTGACGTTAACTAGCTGAGTTTGCTAAAGAAAGCTTGGCCATTTGCTGGCTAGAAGCGCTTTAGTGAGTCCGTCCGCAAGCATCTCGCTAGAGGGGACATGGACAACCTTGATTGTTTGTTGAGAGACTTCCTGTTAGAGCTAGTGGTTATGGATGTTGACATGTCAGAGCTTGGTTTAAAGTTAAGATATCTCTTTGTTTACTAGTCAGATTGTCTGCTTGTTGTTGCACTAGATTATAATAGTTAAATTAGGCAGCTTAACCTGCAGTTTATTAAGAAGCATTTTTGTAAACATAGCTTCCTTAGCAACTTAGAACAGTGCAAGTAATTCTGCTTCTGTTGTTAACATTATAACTATATCTTATTTATTTACTTGCTATGTAATCTATTTGCTAAATAGTTAAATAACATAGCCCTAAGAGCTTTTTCTATCTAGTGTATTATCTATAAATAACGCATCACTTGCTACTACAAGGTAGTCTTCTTCTCCTAATTAGAGTGCGTACGTCCGTGTCGCATGTAGGTACAGGATGACTTGATCGGCTGCATCCTGATGGTTAGATGCGGGATTTGTGAGAAACTGTGTGAGGCGTGATGTGGCAAAAGCAATGTCTAGTCTTGTAGTGACTGCTGCGAAGAGCAGAGATCTAATCTTCTACTAATATTAATTTACTTCTAATAGGGTTGCAAAACTAGATTGCAGCATAAGTTTAATCCTACTTATAGGTGTAGCGTGCTGCAGGTTCTTTCTATTAGCTAGCCTAGCTATTTTGTTAATATATAATGCTTATAACAGCTAAATTATTTATTACTATTAATCTTTAATAATCTTAACTCCTAGAAACTATTGTAGGTCCTTGCCTTCTATTAAGGTATACTTCTCTTGTAACTAGTCTACTACACGCTGTGCATCTGCTTTAGAGCCTTTTCTGTACGCAACAATAAGGTTGTCTACATAGAAGAAGACAAATATTCTAGCTTTAGTTATGCAGTAGGGTTTATGTAGGACAGCTAAGAACTTAAGGCCTTTAAAAGTTGTTATAAAATAGTGTTACTAGAGTAGAGAAGAAATTTATAAGCTATATAGTGCTTTTTAAAGCTTTAGTATTATACCTAGTTTCTAATAGCCTCTTAGCATCTGCATGTAGATATTGCAGTTAATTGCTGCATGTATAAACGCGTTAGTTATGTTGTATTGTTTAAGCTCTAAGTTAA